ATTGTTGTCTTCGAGAGCCTTAGTGGTGGCTTCGACATTTGCGTAATCAACAACGATTATGGAAGCTCCGACTTCCTTCTCCAAGTCGGGGTTGGCCTTGGCTTTTGTCAACATCTAATTCGCAACAAAGTGATTGAAACACTCAAAGATGTTTCTGCATGCTTACCTTTCTGGCCAAGATTTTAACTTCATGTTTACCAGCAGCAACAATGGCCTCGACGATAGTTCGTCCAACATTTCCTGTTCCACCGGCAACTGCGATAACAGCCATTTTGACGTTCTGGGACGAATTTCGAGAAATCGTGGATTGGCACAAAAGAGAATGAATCGACCGCTGTTCTAAACGCTTTTTGCTGTGTTTAATCAACTGTGTTCATTCAGGCCTCGTCTGCGGGGTCTGTTGTCTAAATAGTCACACAGGTGCAGCTTCAAACTCAATGCAATTGATTCCGCTGGTCGGGCGGAGTCTTTTGCTTCAATGCCATCACCTAATCCGTAGTATTGAACGCGCTATCACAATGCGACTGTCTTGGCAACTAACAACATGGTGAAAGTCCGCCAGCAATGCGTTCGGTAACAAAATGCTTCCGCCAATGCTCAAGCCGGCGGGCGGAGCAGACAGGGCAGGAAAGGAGCGCCATTCCACGTGGGATAGATTGATTTCGGGAAGTTCCTTCGGCGGCGCCGTTGCTAACTTATCTAAGGTGGTCATGACTCGGATCCAAATTGCTTCCGGTTCTTACGTGACCGGGCCAATCATGAAACTACTTCCTCTCAACGTCCCTCGAATGCTAACCTCCGTTAGGAGTGCCCTCGAATTTTGCCCAGTTCTGCTTCCGCCGACTTGTTGAGATTTCCAATTCGCGTAGCGGGCTTCCGGCATCTTTCCGCGTCCGAAAGCACAACGGACTCAGCACATCGCCGACGGGCCGGGAAAGTGGGTCCTTATCATCCGGCACATCGGACGCGTTCCCGTAACAGCTTTCGAAACTCGGAGAACGGCTTCAGGCAGTGGCGCTAGTAGTTGTCGGCCGCCATGGACACTGCATCTGTCCTGGAAAGCCGGGCACGAGACAAGGCTGCACGCATTGGACAGGTATGCGCCACTCTTTGTGGTGACAGGCAGGCGTCTTATGTTATTTGTTCATATCGGCTGACCACCTGATATTAGGCCTGTCTAAGATGCCAGTCAAAGAAGATCAAGTGCGATGGAAAACAACCATCATGTACTCCATGCACAAATCGCAGTCATGATTGCCAGTATCAGCAGGTGCAAAGGCGGCGTGGCCCCGGCCGAAGGTACCAGACGTTGCAGCGTTGCTTCGGAGTTTCGAATTCGCCTACCTCGAGTAAGATGCTGACTGTGCTATTAGCAAAATGTACATCCAGGCTCTTGAGGAGCGTCTTTCCAAGATGGAAGCAGTCCTCAATCAAGCTGGATTGCCTCGGCCTGGCGCACCGCCCACCAGAGTATCGCCATCCGAGACTGATGCTGCCTCCGTCTCGGTGGCTCCCGCGCCACCTGGTTTCCCAAGCGCAACTGCGGCGCCTAGTCAAACGGGCACGTCGCGAGTAGATGCTTTGCAAACTTCCTTCAATCAAATGTCAACGGACCATGCGATGATTGACGGAACCGACCCAAATGATTCATCCGATCAACCTACGCCAAAACCAGCTGCAACTCAACATGTTCCCGACCCACCGAACCCGTTGGGACCAAAAATGCCAGTCTTCGCAGTCATTGCGAGCAGAATTAAGGAAGTTAACTCCGCGTCGTATTGCTCCACGTTCAACAGACAGGTCTTTACTCCACGTCTCGATCGAGAAGAGGCTATCACAATGCTGATGCCCCTTTATGACGACGTGATCAGCAACTACCCACTTCTCAACTTTCACTATTTTGTGAACCGATTTGAAACTGTTCCAAATGCAGAGGATTCGTTCAACAGTACTTCAGGCTGGGCGTATATGAACGCGGTCATTGCCGTTGGGACCCGGTGGAAGACGATCAATAGCGCGTTCCAGGAAGTATGCCAACTGGCATGGCCATTTTTGAAGAATGCTTTCTCAGTCCTCACGGAACTAATGGTCAAAGGCGACGATCTTCTGTCGGTTCAAGCCGTTGTGGCAATGGCTGTTTTTATGCAGGGGACGACGTGCTCAAGGACGGCAGCTCTACTTTCATCTGATGCGGTAAGGTTATCGCAGAACATCGGACTTCATAGGCAGCCCTGCACCATGATGTCGATGTGTATGCAAGATGTGGAAGCACGCAGTCGAGTATTCTGGGCCGCATATATCCTTGACAAGGAAATGGGTCTCAATCATGGTCTGGACTCGATCCAGGATGATGATGACATTGAGACGGAATTACCGACAGGTTTGGGAGAGGGTGTAGACATTCTCAACTTGCGTGCCAAACTCGCCATGGTTGAATCCTCCATTAGACGGCGGCTTTACACTGCGAAAGGACTGCGACTTAACGACGATGATGTGGTCAAGGCCATTATAGATCTTGATGCTCTGCTCGAAGAGTGGAGGTCAAGTCTGCCAGCAGATCTTCAGCCAACCTACGACTCCCCTAAATCCGGTCAAGACTTTGCTCCGGACGTTTTGAACTTACATCTGGCCTTTTACCGCTGCACACTTATGGTGCATTGGGCAGCGAGGCGACACAGCCAGTTCAAGACTGTGGCCGTTCTCTTGGGAACACCGGCAGGTTTCGAGATGCCCTACATTCAGCTTTCGTTCTCCCAGAAACGGTGCCGAACAGCTGCCCACGCGACCTTGGGCCTGTTCAGAACGATCTCGACACCGCAATACTCAGATCTCTGGTAGGACTCCGAATGTTACTCAAGGGAGACAAATCTCTGACATCGGTCTCTTAGGCGAATCCTGTGCTATCCTCTTTGCGCAAGCATGACTCTTCTCACGGATGTACTGGAGAACCCTGGTTCCTCTCGCGCGCGCAGCGATCTCGGGGCCACAAGATCATTCGCTGGCTTCTTACAGAGATTTGAGAAGACAGAGGGGTGCGACTTGAAGCGCGTGCTGACCGCGTGTGCCATGCTGCAAAGGACAGTGCAATACGCAGTGGATGATGCTCAGAACACCATGCGTGCCCAAAATCTGGTGGGCGGCACTGGTGGCGGTATCTCATTGATACCGGGTTTTGCGTTGAACGAAGACGCGCAGGTAAGACATCGCCCTGCAGTGAATACCGAGCACTATCTGATTCTGTTTCAGGCTTTACAGTCGCTACTCGGTGCAACAACCCACCCGATGTATCTGGTGCAAGGGCTCATGGGAAATCTACCAAACCGAGACCAGAGTCTTACTGTAAGACTGGCTCACCTGCTCGGAACTCCCTTTGAAGGAGGCAAGCCAGGCAGCCCGCTTGGGTCTCAGCCGCTACAGCCGGAGACGTACGGCTTCGGCTTTGGGCAAGGGCAGGCTGGCAACGACCCGACAGCAAATTGGTCTTGAAATGAACGATACAATTGAAGGAAGATTCGAAGGTCATCAAATGGGCTTAGGAGTCGACGTTACTCTGCCTCGAAAAATGGAGGCAATTTACAGGTTCGTCCGCGAGGGAGGCAGCCGCTCTTCGGCGCTGAGACATTCCTGCAGCATTAGCGCTGTTCCACGCAAGGGGATGAGTCGAACTGAGCTGTTCCAAATGAGGGCTGCCTGATGTCGAATAGGAAATGAGCCAAGCTGGAGCGAGCTTCATTTGGGTGTGCGGTGGATGTGTGCCACGCTTCTCTGCGGCAAAGCCGGCCTGGGCTACCCATACAGCCCAAGAAAATTGCCGGGTACTTCCGTACAAAAAAGCAAGTGAACATAATGATAGATAGACAAAATCTAATAGAAACCATCAACAAGATAAACAACTGTAGCAAAGCTAGGACATTAGATGTGAAGTCTAAAGCTTGGATCGACAGATCCAGTTGGGCATTTCGGTAGCGCTTGTTCCAGAGCTGTGTTACATTCCACCTCAGCCAAGTAAAGCCAAGATCTTCATATTAGCACCGATCTCCCCATATCCTCACGCGAGCTATTCCGCCAAGTTCCGCGTTGCCGGTATCCGCCAATGCGCCCGGAGACAGGGGGCGGAAGTCTTTGCTTTACTGTTTCCGCCCCTTCCCCGTCGTCAATTAGTAGTCACTTGCAAGTTCAGTCCGGGACGAAGGATTTGGTTTGGGCAAGTATCACCACCCTATCAGAGGCGAGATCCCAATCGTACGCGCAATGTCTTCGCCCGGCTTAGCTGTCTTACGCCCAACTGCAGGGGAATAAGTCGGCTGGGCGCTCATGACCACCCAGTCGATGATGACCTTGTCGAAGGAGCGGGTTCGTGTAAGCGACGACATATGGCGAGATGTGGCCGTAAGCCCCAGATCGTTCTCTGAGACGATAGGGACGGCTCTTGGATCAATAAAGTTGAGCTGGTTCCGCCCGCGCGCCAGTCACCTGGATTGAATCCTGCGCAGCGCTCCTCCTTCGTTCTTTCCCCGATGGATTTATGCCAAGCCTAAGAAATTCCACAGATCTTAGGCGTCCTCTCATTATCATTCTTTTGTCCAATATCTGCTGCTAAGGGAATGGCGGTAGGGTTCACTCCTTGGCCTACAAAGCCGCGCTCGCCCGTGTACAGCAAGATCTACGCAGATGACCTTGAGGCACCTCCATCTCCGGGGTTTCGGACGAGAAAGTCGTCGAGATGGCTTCATCGTTTGTCGCCAAAAGCCATGCTTGGGCTCGTAGCTTCTGTTTTTATATTCTCTTGTCTTGTGGTCACAGCTGTGAGTTCATGCTCTGGTTCTATCAACCTTAATCCTAGCTGACAATGCACGCAACAGAGTCATGAGAACATATCTGCCTCAAAGCCTCCGTCGAACCACACTGGCATAGCACCTATACCAGCCATCCAAAAGGGTGGACCCAGACGTCTCCGTGTTATAGTTCCAGCAGATGGGCCGGGGCCAGACCTCTGCAAGATGCTCATGTCGGCACTTGTGTCCGGTTATCCGAGCCCTGTGATCGTCAACTGGGGAAGAGACTTTCACAAGTCGCCTGGGTGGTTTGGTGGCTCTCACTTGGGCAAGATCGACGGCACACTTGAGTTCCTCGATGCCATCACATCAGACCGGGCACCTAAGGACGAACGTCTCGGCCCAGATGATCTGATCATCGTGGTCGACGCTTACGACCTTTGGTTTCAGCTACCACCGTCCTTGCTCATTCGCAGGTACATGGCACAGAACTTCGCCGCAGAAGAGCGCATCCGCAAGGAGTGGGGCATTTCGGCCCCCTGGTTCTCGTCCAACAAGACGGAGTTCGTCCCCAAGCAGTCAATCATCATCTCTACTCAGAAGAAGTGCTGGCCCAAGTCCGACCTTGGTTCCGATCCTCACTGTGATGAGCTGCCGGAGTCGCCTGCGCGCGAAGATCTGTATGGCCCGCACACTGACGAGGATCCTGAGCAATTTCATGATGTTCGCCCGCGATACGTCAACAGTGGCAGCTTCATGGGTCCTGTCGGAGACATGCGTCGCTTGCTTCGTCGTGCTCAGGAGAAGGTCGAGGAGAAGCGTGCTGCAGGCATCAACATCTTTAGTGACCAAGGCATCTTTGCTGAAATGTTTGGCGAGCAAGAGATGTGGCGGGCCTCCAAACGGAGATACCATGCTTCCGGGAAGATCATCCAGGACGCCGAACTTGAGATTGAAGCCGATCATTTCGACTACGGTATCGGCCTTGACTACATCCAAGATCTGTTCACTCCAACCGTCTTTGAAGAGGACGATGGCGAATACGTCATTTTGAGGAATACCACCGCACTTCAAAAAGCGGCTGAAGATCGAGTGATCATTCCTCCTCGAGTATATGGTGTACCCGAGGATATGCTTGGGATTCGCACACCTTTATCCGAGGCAGGAATAGACACTCAAGCGGACTGGGCAGACCTGCCGCTCTATACCGACTTTTGGAGCACTTCCGTCCCAGCCATTGTACACCACAACGCACATCGCAATGGTCTCAAGGGTCAAAGGCTTTCTGGGTGGTGGAAAGAGACATGGTTCTTTCCGCACCTCCGGCGTCTATTGGAATTGCACTCTCAACCCAAGTCTCTGGAGCCGCTCTTCAAGGTCTCTGGGCAGAACGGTGCAAAGGATCTCTCGTTCTGGGCGCCAGCATCAGATGCCACGAAGCGAAACACTCGCATCTTTGACAAGGAAAAGTTGAAGGATGAAGGGCTGCTGGAGTCTGATTGGGATGGTTTGTGCATCAAAGAGGGTCATGAAGATTGGTGGAGTGAGATCTTGCAGGATGACGAAGGTCCTCTCCACGTCGGAGGTTCCGCGGTATCCGAATCGTAGCGTCTTCGGAGATATAAGAGGTTGATTTCCTCAGAATTGGAACAAGGGTCTCTTTAGTGTATTATAACATAGCTGCATTTTTACATATCTTGTACAATAAGGGCCGCTGGCCTTGTATTGTGAAATTTGACTGGTATTGACTGCGAAAGCTAGACTGGTCCCCTCGCCCTCTGCTAACAACCTTTAGGTTATATGACTTTCAGACTTAGATATCTTCTTCGCCTCCACGCTCCTCCGACTTCAACTATTATAATAAGCTTTAACTGTTGATGGGCCCTGCTACTTGGCTGCCACTCCTGTAGCCTGCTAGCGAGTGCTAGAGGCTACTATATAGCCCTCTCTAGCGCCTTAGCGTCTAGCTAGTTCTTCTCTATAGCATATCATAGTTATTACTATATTCTCAAGTTATAAGCTTAGCTTTATTAAATTAACCCTAAAAACATTAATTTTAAGGTCTTTTTAACTACCTTAAGTTTATAATAATCCCCTTAATTATCTCTATTATTTTACTATTCTTTTTATATGTAGATTAGCTGATTTTATTGCTAATCGCTTTATCTATTTACCTTCCTAACCTTTAATACACTTTAATATACTATAGTAAAGATCTTATTATATTCACTTTTAATTAAGTATATATAAGTAAGCTTACTACCTTATAAATTAAACTCCTCTTAATAAATACTTTATATTATTAATCTCTCTTATTATAACTTCTTACCCCTCTTATCTTATTGCTATAGGTAAGCTATTACTATAACTAGTACTACTATGAGAATAACTCCTATTAATATACTAAAGCTATATAGTAAGTCTAACTAAATAACTTAGAAGGTCTCTATTAATACTATACTTTAAGCTACTTAAATTAATAACTATATTATTAAGAATATTCTTAAGCTTAATATAGAAATAAAAAAAAAAGCTTAGGTAGCTAATTAAGATATTACTTATAATATCCTTATTATAGCTATAGAGAGCTTTATTAATAAGCTCTTTAATATAAGCTAAGAGGATAATAGTAACTTATATAAGTTAATAGAAGCTTTAAAGAAGTATATCCTAAAAGTCTTAGAAGATACTATTAGTATACTTATTAATAAGTTTAATAAAGGTATTATAGAGGATTATAAGATACTCTATAATACGCTTAGATATACTTAGTACCTTAAAAGCTATATTACTAGCTTTATTAATATATACTCTAACTACTATTAGTCTATTATTTTTCTTAACTACTTTAAGATAAAGCTTCTAAATACCTATAAGTTCTATATTATTAATAATAAGACACTTATATAGAATAATATTATTTAAACCTTATTTACCTTTATATAAAATAAAGAGCAGAAGATTAATATTACTACTTTTAAAAAGATTACTAATATTAGCTAGTAGAGTATTAATAGTAAGAAGGTATCTACTATATTATTAGCTAATAAGTTTACTACTAAGTATAATTATTATAGATATACTTATACTACTTAGTAATATATAACTACCTATCTTAAACTTATTCTAAATAATTAGGCTAACTATAAGGCTATCCTAGTAAAGGCTGAGAAGTATATCTATAACGCTAAGTATAAATAAGATATACCTAAGAATAAGTCTATCTATATCTATACCTTACTAAGTATTTTTAGTTAATCCTTACTAACTAGTATTACTATTAGAAAACTAATAGATATCACTAAGTAACCTATTTATAATATTATTAGTAAGATAGTACTTATTGCTATTACTAACTAGAAGATTCTCTATTTAGATATTATCCTTAACTCTAGCTATTCTAACTCTATTTTCAATAAGCATAGCTACTTTATTATATATAAAGCTAAGGCTAACTTACCTCTATATAAAGGTGCTAATAGAGAGTATATTTAACTTAAAGGTATTAGTATAGTTTACTTCTAAACTATTAATCTATAAAACCTAACTAAGATAGTTAACTAAACTATTAATAATATTAAATATAGCCCTCTAAGTCTAACTAACCTTCTTAGCTTAAGAAAGTTATATAATATTAGTATTAAATATAACTATTATACTTTAGCTATAGTGTAAGTTTTATTAAGTATTCTGTTTACTAAAGTTAATTAGTAATTAAATATCTATATTATCCTTACTATTTAGTATTAAAAGGATGTTCCTCTTAATATTACTATTAGCTTTACTATAGTTTACTATAAGTAGCTACTATCTCTTAAGCTTATATATTACTATCTTCTATATACTTACCTTAATTAAGTTATTAAAGTATATTATTATATTAATATTATATTTATAACTTAAGAGATTAAAGACTTCTACTATAAGGCTTACTATCTTACTAAGTCTACTAAAATTATTAATAGAGACTTTTTACTACTATTAACTAATATTAATAATAAGATTTATCTTAATATTATTAAAGTTAAGCCTCTCTCTATTATAAGTAAGAGATATATTCTATACTTTATAGATTACTATAGTAGCTACTATTAGGTTATACTCCTATTTAACTATAACTATAAAGTTATTCTTAATACTATTAAGATATTTAGTAATATTTTTATTAATATAATATATATTAATATTAAGACTTAGGTTTATAATAATATGCTTAAGTTTAAGAAGGTCCTTTAAGACTTATTCTTCTCTAAATCTTATATAAATATATCTATTACTAACACCTTATCTATAAATAATGCTATTAAAAGAGCTAGAAGGATTATTATTAAGGCATCTTAAACTTAACTAATTAATATTAGTCTTCTAGAGGAACTCTAAGATTATACTATTAACTTTACTATTTAGATCTTTAACCTTCTTCTATAAGCTAATAAGAGTAAGCTAAATCCCTATAAGATTATAGCTTATAAGCTTAATCTTATAGCTAATTATAAGCTTCTATATATTAAATATCTCAAAACGTTCAGATATATTGCTTATATATATAAAAAAGGTTCTAATAAGCCTACTTATTTAGCTAAGATAGAAGCTAGAGCGATAAAAGGCTTTCTTATTAGCTATAGCTTACTTTATAGTTATATCTATTATATCTATATTCTTAATAAGAAAAAGGTATTTTGCTACTAAGATATCTAATTTTATAAATAGCCTTAAAAAATAGTTTTTCTGCTTATTACTAAAGCTCTTATTACTAATAATAGTAACTATACTATTCACTTTAATAATCCTAACTTTCTAATTTATCACCTTATTATATTTAATATAACTAATACTCCTAAAAAACTTATTATTAGTATTAATAAGTAAACTTCTAATAATAAGAGTATTAATCTAAAGCTAGCCTATATTAACTATATAATATCTCTACCTCTAGAAAAAATCCTCTATTACTAAAATATTATAAAAAATATAACTATAATAACTAATAATACTATATAAATATCTTTAGAGACTAATATATAGGATAATAATAATAATAACTTATTTAAGAGTGTACTAAAAGATAAAGAAGCTAATTATAGAGATTTAGCCTATATTATAGATATTATTAAAGAGGTAACTAATATAATAGTCTTAGAGATAGTAGTTTAAAACAAACCTTATTAAGTAGCTTAGAAGTTTAAGGGATATTATTATTAGCTTACTAAAGTCTATAAGTATAAAAAGAAGCTCTTTATAGCTATTAATATCTAAGTTCTAAATTATACTTATCACTTCACACTTAGCATTATTACTGCTACTACCTTATTAAAGGTTCTACTTAATAGTATTATTATCCTAAAGTCCTATAATAATGCTAAGTTTAGCCCTTAGTAGTCTAACTAGAAAGCAGCATTTAAGCGTAAAATATAGCAGTTCTATAATAAAGAAGTATATAAGCTTATATACCCTCCTTATAATACTAAGATCCTACTTAGTAAGTAAGTACTTAATATTAAGACTAATAATAATAATAAGATTATTTAATATAAGACTTATTAGGTAGTTTATAATAACTATAAGCGTAGAGATTAGTCCTCTTAAGAGGTCTATATAGTTATTACTATAGCTACTGTAATCTATATATTCTTTGCTATTATAGCTCTTTATAAACTTAAGTATAAGATATATAACTTTAATACAGCCTTCTTAACTGCTCCTATCCTTAATAATATAAAAGTCTATATATATTAACCTCTAAGCTTCTCTATAGATAATAGTAAGGTCTAGCTACTTTAAAAAGCACTCTATAGCCTTTATAAAAGCCCTCTTTAGTAGTTTAACTATATTAATATTAAGATATAAAAGCTTAGCTTTACCCCTATTAATAGTAAGGTCTACTTATTTATTAATAAGTTACTTAGAACTTATACTTTTATATATATTAATAATAATATTATTACTGCTCTTAATAAGAAGATAACTAAGTAGGTTTATAATATACTTAATAAGGTTTACCTCCTTAAAGACCTTAATAAGGCTACTAAGTTTCTAGGTTTTTAGATTATTTAAGACTATGCTAATAACTAAATCTTTATTAATTAGATTAAGTATACTAAAGCTATCTTTACTCACTTTAGATATAAAGATATTAACCTTATTAAGACTCCTATAGTATCTTATGAGGAGCTACTAATAATATAAGACCTTAAAGAGTATATAGAGGAGGAACACACTATCTATATTAAAGAGACTAATTACTATAACTACCTCACTACTAATATATATCTTAATATATCCTATATTATTAGTAAGCTTAGCTAAGCTAACGCTAAACCTTCTAAAGCTTACCTTTATACTATAAAGCATCTCTTTTAGTACTTTAAGGGAACTATTTACTATAGCATTATCTTCAGTAGTCCTAACTTAATAATTAACTACAGCTTATATACTATAATAGATTTATCTTTTATAGATAATAAACCCTCTTATATCTTAACTAATAGCTATATTATTTACTTTACTAATAGCTTAATTACTTAAAAGTTAAAAAAGCAGACTTTTATTACCTTTAGTTTAACTAAGGCTAAATATATTAACTTAATACTTACTATAGTTACTATAAA